GTTATAATTATATGAAACAATATATTTGACGTCATACAGAATTTAAATACTCGAAAAATTCGCACGTTTATCATTAAAAACTTTGGATTATAATAATGGCCATAATAAATTAGAATGTGCTACGCAATCATTTTATCTAAAGTTTTAATTGTTTATATGCCATTAAGGTTTTAATTAAAACGTTTATTTTTAATTGTTCTATTTTTAAAATAACAAGTTCAGATCTAGACAAAAAATAACATGAATATAGTATACTCTTCTTCATCAAAATACAAATTACGAAATTGATTGTAATTTAGCACATCGTATGTTTGTCTGGATCTTTGTTAGCGCACATCTCCGAAACGACTGAATGAAATTCCATTAAGTTTTATAGGTGGATATAAAACTTGAATTTCTTTAATTTGGACTTGAAATTGATTGCTTGATAATTGAATCAACCAAAACAGTTAACAAAAAAATTTAAGCAATCTAAGAAGATTGCCATTTATATACGTTTTTTTCTTTTTCATTTTTAAATGTATGAGTCTTCATTAATGCCTAGTACAATTATTACGAAATGTAATTTACTTAAACATAATATATGCATATATGCAAATACATACAAAGGCATAAAATAAATCATATAAAAGCCTATGAAAAAAACTATGGATTTGCATTGAGTAATTAGGTAGCCGCAAAAGTAATTAATTTTAATTTCATATTTTTAAAGATTAGTAGTAGGTAACGTTTTGAACAGAAACGAAAGGCTCGTAAGTCCCATCTAGAGATTATACTACAGGAATCATTAGAATTGAACTATTTACACTGACTGTCCCTAAAATGGTTTTAGAGTAGAGTTTAGAGTCTACAGTTTAAGGTTTGGCACCGAAGAATTGATATGAGTATTATTATAAGAAATGGTTATCAACCACAAAGACAAAAATAGTAGAAAGTGAATCAGCAAAATATATCAAAATAATACATTTCGTCACTTTAACTTATCATTTGAACTCTGCCACAAAAATGCCTAAATGAGCCGCAGTGTCATTGAACTTTGCGATATGTTTTCTATTTAAATAAAACCACAAGACAAAAATATAGGTAATAAAACTTTTTCTAATAAATATAGGTAATTCAATATGCGAAGCGATATAGAGGATGACAATTTTGCTAGATGGGACGACGATATTAAAAAAAATGCTGGGCCAAAATGGCAACAAATAGCTCAAGACCGAGAGAAATGGAAGGCTTTGGAGGAGGCCTTTACCTGAGGGGGGTTCCGATACATTAAAAATGATACTGCCTACCTAGTAAAAACAGCTGGATAGGATTTAAGATTTAAGTTACATAGATTTTAATTTTTCTAACTAAGCACTATATTAGAGGTACAGGTAGGAAACAATATTTTAAGTTAATTTGTAAACTGGAAATATAAGGCTTTTTTATTTTAATTTTATATTTATTTTATTAAATATGTCAAAAGGTATATGTTGAGAAATAAGCAGAAAAGGTCGATGATGATGATAAAATAATCATCGCCAGTACAAATGCTGTAAATGTATGTTCGAAACAACTGTAACTTTAAACAGTGGAGAGTCTATCTATCTATTCATATACCAGCCTGTAACAACTATCCGTCCTACATCCTATTCATACATGAAGAATGAATAAGTATTGATCACGTTTGCTTAAGGCTGACTAGTGATATCAAACTTTTATTTAACCAAGTTTTCTCTTATACTCCTATACTTCTCGTCCAAATAGTCTTAATGTAAGAAACAAACATTGAAATATTTCTGACGCCACACAAACACAAGCTCTTGGGTTCAAGGTTGAATCAAACAACGAAAATCAAGACTCAAGTTATTTACCTCGGCAAAAGGTGAGACAAAACTGCAGAGACAAACTACTCCGCTGTCAGCAAAGAGTTTGGCGACCTCAGCCACTCGTCTGATGTTTTCCTCACGATCCTCTTTGGTGAAGCCCAGATTCTTGTTCAAACCTGTCCTGATGTTGTCTCCATCTAATCCGTAAGCCGGAATACCTGGGAACAAAGGTAATATGTAAATGTTTTATATAGTACTAGCAGCCCGTCCCGGATTCGCACGGGGTAGACAATTATTTATTTTTGGAAATTTGGATTGTTGTAGTGACATAACTACAATAGTTGGACATATGCTACCGCGGAGATTTTTGTAGACATTATGATGTTCTTCAATATTGTTTGTTGTACATTATTTTGTTCTATTGCTAATAGTTTCGGCAGCGCATTCGACGAAAGACATTTTAAGACTCGTTTTTCTACACCTTCGGTTACATTGTTCAAATTTTACCAAGGACCCTAATTTTTTTCAAAATGAAATGTAGCCTATGTCAAATTGGAAGAATGTAGCATTCTATTGGTGACAGAATTTTTTAAATCGGCCCAGTATTTTTTGAGCCTATTCATTACAAACATACAAAAATAGGTACAAATCTTTCCTCTTTATAATATTAAGGATAGATAGTATACATGTATGCGGTTCGTTTCCTATTGAGCTGAATCTCTTAAATATTTGGTTAGCAGTTTTGTTACCTATTTGTGGTGTTAATTAATGTCTGGTCATAGTCTTTTACATAGGGTGATAATTATTATTGCAAAATTGTGATTTATTGTGATTAGGTACTACCTCTATAATATAATCAACCTATTTCACATCATGACTTCAATTATAAGAATAACTATGCCAATTAAGACTAAAGCTATGCCAAGGGAAAATAAATAAATAAAATAGGTATTATTTTAATTTAAGTGCTAATTTATTTATTATATTACTCGACCCAGATAATAAAATCGGTTGAATAACCATAATGTACATTCATGTCCAACTATAATTAAATTAAATTAAAAGAATAAAGACGACATCTTGGCTGTTCATAAATCAATAAAAAAATAACAATAAGAAGATTTTTAATTACATAGGTAACTACAGGGTCGCAAGTCGGCTAAATGCCACCAGCTCTCAGTCGGTAGTGGGCCCTGATCAGAGGTTTCCATCAGAACTTCTCTCTTTATATAGCGAACAGGGGTTTATCCGATGAATTTACCTACCATGCATGGACCCTGAGCGGTGTAGTTACACACACTAGATAACTAACATCATTGGTTTTATTTCTATCTGTATGACAATGCACAAAGATTCTTATAAGTAACTCATACTATATATCCTTAGATTTTATTGTATTCAAAGCCAGTTGAGTTACATGATGTACCTTACTGTACCTATATTAGGTACCTATTAAACTGTCAAACACCAAGCGGTCATCGGTGACCGCAACCTATTGTTCTATAATTGTGTCTATAATGACGGTACTCGACGAGTTAATACTATTTATTGTCTCAATATAATATTAGTTATCTGCAAATGTATGTTGAGTTATTAAAGCTTTTAATCAATGGTTAAATACTTCCTGGAGTTTGTTTACTTATTTTGCAATATAATAAGATATTTGGGTCGTAAATTAAATAACTTTTAGATCGCTTTAAAATAATGCAGGCTACACGCCATATGATTAAACTGTGGACAATTCGACTGTACAGTTATGCATATTATAACAAACGCTCTTAGTTATCTAGGGCTCACGGCTTGTTGACAATGAAATGTTTAGATTACCATATAAAGTTATTAGTTACTTTATTACTACGCGTTGCCCGCGACTTCGTCCGAGTAGACTAAGAATTTTAGAACATAACTTTGTTCAATTTTCCAAAATAAAAGTAGACTATGTTAGACTATGTTACTCATTAGTACATCAGCTACCTGCCAATTGAAGAAAACAGATTAGCCAGTACAAACACAGACAAAAATTATAAACTGTTATGTTGGTATGTGTATCGTATGTATATTCATATGCATGTAGTAAAACGTGGTTATTTTAATATTACAAACAGACACTTTATTTTATTTATCTGTATAGATTGACCGTCAATTTAGTTTTTAGCTTAAACAGGTTGCAGTATAGAGGAATTTACCCGCATGCATATTTAAAAAGGGTCTTATTGCTTAAGCACAAGGACGAACTTTTTATGTCATCTTCTGTTATATTATGTATTGTACTACGATATGACCTTAAATCGAGGTTATTATTGATGGAGACACTTCGATTCGGACAATAAAGGTCAATATAACTATGTAACAAACAGTTTAATTGTTATAAACAGGACCCTTCATTTTAGCATGATGCATGGCTACTTATAACTACATGGCATGGCTTGAAACTAGTCGAGTTCCTCGTCAAATAATGACGCGGGTACCAAAGCCGAAAATCCTAATAATTAATTTAGTATGTCTCACGACACTTTTAACATAAAAAATGCTCTCATTTTAAAGGTAACAAAATTTCCTTAAAGTGACTTAAAGTTCTATGTAAATCTAAATACCATATTGCACTAATTACCGATGTTTTCTTAGTTGTCGCGTACATAACATATACGTAACAATGTGTGTAAGTAAGTATGTACCTGTTGTTCAGTCTCAAATTACAGTGTCAAATTACCATCATGTAGGTCACACGTTCCATTCATAGTACTACGGGTAAGTGGTTAATGAGTTACCTCATTCAATTTAGTTTAATGACAATTCTTACTCCAAAATTATGTAGTTCAATTTTATCTATACCAACAGATAAATAAAATTGATGTGTCTGTTGGAATATTAAAACCACCGCTTTTTACAGTTTACTAAGTAAACTGTAAAAAGCGACATTATCTAATAAGGCATGTATTTATAGTCCTAATAAAGATTTAAGACTAGCTATTATCGCACGGTTTCACCCGCTACTTTTCTCCTATTGGTCGTAGTGTGATGTTTTATAATCTTCCTTGATAAATGTAATATTCAAAACAATAAGTACGATTATATTATTTATTTGTTATTACCCTAGAAATAAATTAAAAAAAATAAGATTTAAATTCGAAACAGTTCCGTAGATCTTCAAGATTCAGGAGCACATTGAAATAGACAAACTCCTCGGCTTCATAATATTAAATAGGTTTTAGTATAGTTACCAACCTTTAGACACCAGGTAAGCTTCAAGAGCGAAGGCTATGCTAGTTTTTCCAGCACCACTGAGTCCTGTGAACCATACTGTGCTGCCTCTGAAGGCCCTGCTTCCAAGAGCTCGACTTCTCTTAGCTCTAGACACCTGATGCTTCTGTTCTACGACATTTGTCGCTACTTGTGCACACTGAAACAAAGATAACAAGAAAATTATAAATAGTGTCACTGGAAAGCATGTATGAAGATTAAATCAAGATTATATAGACTGCTTGCTTTTTTCTTCATTTATGCTTTTTTTTACGGCATAAGCCGGCAAACGAGCAGCCGGGTAATCTGATGGTAAGCAATCGGCGTCACCCATTGACACCTGGAACACCAGAGGCGTTACAAGTGCGTTACCGGCCTTTTAGGGATTAGGAGTTTGAGGATCGTTGGGGATACAGGGGAGTAATTGGGCCTCATATAACTAACTTCACCTGGGTACTAATTCTTTACGTTTATTTTTTGGTTTCGACAGATATCAAGATTTTCTTAAATAAGTTTTCTTAGTAAACTTAAAAACACCGCCAGAAATCAAATAGAAGGTAAAAAAGAAAGCTCAAAGCCCTGCATATTAATGAATGCCTAATTAATGGAAAACTGGTAACAACAAGATTATGTAATCAATTAAGTTTATTTTCAATTTTCCATCGACATGAACTTAATGTATCTCCTAAAAACAACAGCCATTTTGATTACATAAGTACCACGAGATATTTTCTTTCCTGTTCCCGTCCCGTCTAATTTTATTTCAAATAGTAATTAACCATAGCAGTAACCAGGAAATAATATACCATCTAGTATCTGATGGCCATTGAAAAGTTTGATTGGAAACTATGAACATAATAAAATGTCTGACCTTGATACCCACAGAGGTCAATCGTGTGCACCTTGCACGCGTATATTTTTTCCGTCAGTCATTTTAACATTTTTTTTTATAATTTTATTTATATTTATTAATTTCCTCTTACATAAAAACTGCTTTTCCTTATGCTTGATCAATAATATTCCTTTTTTGCTGATTTATTGATTAATTACTTAGCAATTCCTTGTTTATTTTATGTTTTTGCGTAACATCAAGATTTGTTTTTTAAACTAATAAATTAGTCGACACAGTAGATATAAATCTCTTTTGTAATCTGTTATTGCGACTGACTTAGGTACTGAGTATTGACAGCGACACCATAACATCGGCCCAAAGATGCTGAACATCCCCCAATTACTTCTACATCAAATGGACTGGTTGGAAGTGATCCGCATCAAGCATCTCTCTGAGAGACAAAATTACTAGTCATAGAAATTTAAAATCCTGCGTGTAAGTAGTAGGAACCTATAATAGGAAATGATATAAATGCTCCCGTAGGCACTAATAGTGGTTCTAAACCTTCGAAAATAATATGAAAAACGCGTCCGAAGTCGCGTGCGTAAGCTAGGTAAGTACTATGTGTTTCATAATTCAGTACATTGGCGTAATGATTAACTAAATCGATGACCCGCAACCTTCGTGCAACCATTATCGAATTCACCCACATGAATCTTAATCAGTACGGCGGGTAATCATCATGTAGGTACCGATTAGATTTTATTTGTAAAGTCATAAATTATAAATAAATAAAAGTAGTATGTATTCCAATATTATTATCTACTAGCTGACCCGGCAAACTTCATCTCGTCTCAATTTTTTTTCTCACCTTTTAAACCTTCCCTGGACTTCCACGAACATTTCAAGACCAAAATTAACCAAATCGGTTCAACCGTTCCCGAGTTTTAGTGAGACTAACGAACAGAAATTCATTTTTATTTATATAGATTAGTTCTAAGTAACACCAAACGAAAATAAAGAGATTGCCTGAATCGACCGTAAAGAACAAACTACATCGCGTTTGGATGGAGGAATAGAACATAGCCATGCGTCATTTTAGGTCGTCGTTTGTAATTTTTATGTTATTATAATAAAAAATAAAGAATATTTTCCTTTATAGAAGTCGGCTAGGGTCAATTGTTCAATACTCAGATTTTTAACTGAGGAATAACTTTGAATATTTGACAATTCTTTCATACTAAAAACTGTCAACTGTCAATTTTATCTTACAGTTAAGAATTAACTGATGATTGAAAAATGGGCCCTAAAACTTGAAATCAATTTAACTACGACCTGATTAAATTATAGAGCACTAATGGATAATATCCGTCATGTGAAATGAAATGTGGCTACAAGGGCCAGTGGAATGAATCAGTAACGTAAATACCTAGATCCGATTTCAATTTATTATTGACATTACCTAAGTATTTAAAATCATTTGAACGGTGAAGGGCACTTTAGTTCGGCCTCGAGGAACTTATTATGTTCAATGCCTAGGTTTTACATTCGAAATTGAATGTCAATGGAATAACCCTGCAGACTCCTGCAATTATATTGTAAATATTTTTAAAAAGAAAAAAGGCATAATGGGTACTTATGTAAAATGCTGCAGATTATTTTATTATAGACTAGCTACCCGCGCCTTCGTACGCGCAATCCTGTTTTTTTATCTATTTTCGTTTGATTTTCGTATAAAAAATATCTACCTTCCCAGTTCGTCACCAATTTTCTATCAAATCGATTCAGCCATTCTTGAGTTATAAATAAACAGTGTAACTAACGCGACTTTCTTTTATATGTAGCTATGGATTTACAATTTTACAATGGGTCGCAGAAGAAGGGAATATACTTGTAGGTAGTTTATTTACATTATAACTTTTGTGAGACATACTAAAGTAATTATTATATTAATAATAATTAATTTTGTATGTTACGTCAATAATAATTTATTTTCAGTAGCAGCGCGACAGTCGCCGCGTCGCGGTTAGCGGCATGCTGCTCGTGAATATGAGCCTTTGGCATGGCTTGAAACTACTCGAGTTCCTCGTCAAATAATTACGTGAATAAGTCGAAAAACATAATAAAACTTAGGTAGTTGTTTGATTCTCGTCTTATAATTAATTGTAATAGTAATAATCAGAGACCAGCTTCTATCCTCAGTATCTTCCAAAATCTAAATGAATAGGTACCTATATGGAATATTTCACAAGTTGATTAATATAGGTGTCACACACATCACAAATGAAATACTATCATGACGGTGGCGTCATTTTGTCGCATGATCAGTAGGTGTGCTTAAATAAATTGACGTACAATTTGCTCTTGATACGATATGACCATATCAAGAATTGATGTGATGATAAAAACAGCTTTGTCTAAATAGGTAATTGATTAAATGTATCTTTATCGTATTGCATAAGTCCTGTAATATTCCCCTACATAGCATTTTTTAATCGTTTTGATATTGAATGTACTTGTTTTGCACTCGCGCTTTAACACCTTGAACGCCATGGGGGACAAGGTATGGGCCATGATAGTGGAGGATATATTCTTAACAGTTTTCTGTCGGCAGTCAAAGGCTTAAATAATACAGGGTGTAAATGCTCCGGAAATGTTGACAAAAAGAAATTGTTTTCACAATTTTAATCGCTTTTGTTTCGTGTTGTTTATGCAACATTAGCCTTGAGCATTTGAATAAAACTATTATTACATTTTATAGCCTATGGCTTTCCTCACAGATATATTTCTGTGGCTTTCCTTCATAAATGGGACTATCCAATACTTTTTTTCCAAATTGGACCAGTATTTTCTGAGACAAATAAACGAACTCTTCAGCTTCATAATAAGTAGCAATTGGATACTTAAGTACTATCAAGTACTTACATCAATATGTAGGTACTATTTGGACAATGTTTTGTAAAAAAAAATATTAAGTTGCATGTAGGTACTTAATAATTTTACTTAAATAGACGAACATCTGTTATTTGCATTTAAATTAAATTCAAATAAGTGAATGTAAATCATTTGCAATACATGGTGTAAGCAATGATAATTTTATTTATCTCTCTTAGGTATAATGAATTTACAAAGCTAAATAAACATTTAAGTAATCTATTCATTGTATTGTAAGATTTATAATTTTATCGTCTTTATAGATCATAAGCATAATGTATAGTGTTTACCTATTAACATAGTTTTAAATAAAAAAGATAGATTACAATAAAATATGTTAACCTAGTGGTTACATAGGTGCGAGCTAAAACATTAATAACGAGTAATAATAACTTTCGATAGGAATAATATTTTTCTAGAAAACGATATAGGTACCTAACGTCAGAATATATTTTAGCGATCAAATTAAAAAGAAAAGCCAGAACTGTATCATTACCAACATGTTTTTATACAGAAACCAGTATTTTACAACGTGCAAGTAGCAGCTGTTCCCCGACCAGTATGAATTGGCGCGAGAAATGCAGTGAAAGTCGAATGTTTACGTAAATCCAACGCTAGCAACGTAACTTTGACATAATGCACAACACATGTATATTATTGTATATCTACAATTATAGAATTATGGCTGTTATAGTCTATACTATGCACTCATTTCATCATCAACAACTGACCAAAGTTTGAGCATCATCACACTTTCTCAATGTGAGTTGGCGATTTCAAACTTATAATTAGAAATTAATAAGCCTAGAATTTTTCAGGATGCTTTTCTTCATCGTTTGCCGTGTCTAAGGAAGAACATATTGTTAAATAAAAAGCTTGAATATTTTAACTTGACTTTTATAGTTCTTCTTTACTTTTATTACACTTTTATAAACTTTTATTTAAACTGTCAAACACCAAGTGGTCACCGGTGACCGCTTGGTGTTTGACAGTTTAAGACGTACACCGTTCACACTCGCAGCCATTATTCAAGAGAGGGAAAAGTTTTTTTTTTTCATAGACCAGCGCTTTGTCATAGATAAGTAAAAATTGCCAACAATCACACATTATGTGTACAATTTAACACTGGATCCACTAGATCGCACCACATATGCTTAAGAAACATCTATCAAGATTATAATTATTTACTATTCTCAACACATATAACTCGAAAAAAGTGCACACATGCACGAGAAGCGGACGAGTCTTAAACCTCCAGGCCACCACATTTTGCATTTATTTCCACAGTAGTATTGTACCATGTACAATAGGGATGAGGGCAAATTATAATACATTATCTACACCTATTCAGTGGCCTTACACCTACTACTAGACTACGGCATTGATAAACTAAACAGCTATTAGGTAGAGCCAATTAAAAGTCAAAACATTATTGTGATCGAATGGGTAAAAAAAATAATATACGGGACTGACTCTGACATTCAACTGATTATGTCAAATCCCAAACATGAACTATTGTATTGGCTTTTTAAGACTAACGTTCTATTTCATCGGGGACCTTCTTTAAAGTAGGAGAGCTATGAAGAATTCCTTATTCTCTTAATTTAGTCCTAGCTGTACCTAGAGAGAAATGTCTAGAGATATTTATCTGCTATGGACAAGAAGAAAAAAATAATTTACAAAGAAAATTGTGATTTAAGAACATATACACATTTAAATGAAATAAATGGACAGAAAATCTAAAACAACATGCTGATCATTTGTTGTGTTACGTACGACTAACTTAAAAATTAATTAAAAATATCTGAAAAGTACCTACCACTAATACTACCGTACAAATTAACATGGTTATCGATGTCACCAGTTTTTTTATCTGATAGAACCATACAGTACGTTCATTACCATTAGTGCACGAAGGGTTCGGCGGTGTCGACCTGATACCATTAATTGAGTTTCATACGATGTTGGATTAAAAAAATATGGAATTTAGAATAGAAAGAAAATAGGTTACTGCACACAGGTTTTTTATCAGTCCTAACTTAAAGACGAATATAAGTTCAGTTTTTATCCACAATAACCGTAATACCGCATTCAATGCACACCAAAAGATAAAACTATTTAGGTGAAAAACTCTACTTTTTGTTTCATTACTGTCAAAAATACCGAAAAAAATCAAGCAAGTACGCATAATAACATGGAGTATGAACGGGTATGTTTAGAATTCCTTGAATAGAAGAAGTTTAGACTAACGTATCCTGGAATGAAACCTAATACGTGCGGTGTACCGCGAACTATAAACTGTAGTTTACCTACATCTTCTAGGCATAAAGTATAAACTGATTTCTCAAAATAGATAAAAAAATTGGTAAACATGAAGGTCAGTAAAGATAAATGATCGATTTCAACAAAAAACAAGATAAAGGACTAGGAACTGTAATCATCAGCATCGATTCGCTTCCGTCCACTGCTGGATACAGGGACTTCTCGATGCTGTATGAACAGATACAGAATAGAAAATATAGGTATGCTAGGGCTTACCTAGCTAAAAACAATCACGTAGAAGTCCCAAAGCTTGGTCTACAAATGATATTTCTCGTAAGAATAATCCATAAAAGCGAAGTTCTAATGCAAATGTTGCCTTTATTCACATAAATTAACCAGCTAAACATAATTTAAATGGAGTGCATGTTTATTGTGAGCAATAAGTAATTATTGTTCTACAATGTATTATACTCAATCAATATGCATAGATGCGTGATGCAGACGGGATAAGAGCAATATAAGAATTAAAATTTAATAGCGTTTTATGATTTTAATACCTACACAAGTACTATGGGATGATAATAGTTTGCAAACACATAAAATGAGTAGGTAATTGAATCACGACAATACCATATTTGTAGAGTACATCTGGCTTGAGTATGTTATCTAAGAAACTAGTCGTGGAGAGCGGATGCGTCTTGTTGGATGCTTCCGCGATAGGATTTAATGACAGCCATCCCACTAGCTTGGCAGCTAAAATAATGATCGGAGTAAGTAAGGAAGAACACTGCAATAATAGACCCTAAAGTAAAAATAATTAAGTACCCAAGAATTTATAGGTAGTCTGAGGATAAATCGATGAAAACCAATGAAAAACGACGATATGATTGTATCGCAAACGAATCTACCTAAATTCTGGTATTGGTGCCGATGTCGAGTCGACCACAAATGACAGCAGTGCCAACTAGTGGAATAGAATACAAAAATATTAACAGTAGGTAAGTAGTATTTTACGATATTTTTTCTTGCATGTATTTTAAGGAAAGAATAAAATTATGTGCGTCAGAACTTTAAACTATTAAACAATAAAGCAAAAAAATACACAATAATGTGACTATAATACTTTTCAAGGCAAAAAAATACAACGGAAAATAAATACCTACGTAGACTAAAATAATTAAATTAAAAAAAAAAGTATCTATGCATATTAATCGAACTAATACATTTTGGACAGTAACATTATGAGCCATGATGACTCACTACCACTACTTTTTTATTATTCATACAGGTAATTTATTTTACGGGTATTAGCCCACTATGTATTGGAGATAACAGAATCGATGATAATACACACCAATACAACTCATAACACATTCCAGCTTTATTTATTGATATTTCTATTACAATATTAGAGTTCAGAGTCTGAATGATATTTGTTTCGCTGTTTCTTTACGATAACAAATGATATTTACAGCAGAACATAATACTATCTCTCTAATAGAGTCGTTTAGGCATAAAACGGATTATTGTGAAAAAATAAGAATTTTAGAATTAAGACCCACGTAAATATATCTATGATGCAGCACACAGGAGTTATTAAATAATCCGATATACCATAATATAACCTTTTTACTGTCACTGGTTTGTAAAAAAATATAAGTCAATAAGTTTATGTTTATTTAAAGTGTACATAAGTTGGAGTACCTATGTAGAAATGTAAAGAATTTTTATAATAAGACGTAGATATTAAACAATAACTAAAATATTATGTAGGTATCAAGGCAGCCTCTATCCACAATTGAGATTATAGTACAATCATTTATACATTACGTAAAATCTAGTTCTGATAATACCAAGCTGAAAATAAATTAAATTCTCGTATGTAAAATGAATACTTGTAAAAATTGTTCATTGTTAGACATGTTTCTTTGATCAATTAAAAGGCAAATCGATTTGTCACTACTCATTAAATATGTATAAACAAACAATAATAATTCCTAACAAATAAGTGATTAAATTAAAGATACAGGCACATTTAATTAAGAAAGTTATACACATAGGCGAAAAAACGAGACAAACGAATATTTATAAAACGTAAAAAAATCAAAATACATTCAATTCGGTTTTGGTTTCAAATAGAATTTATTCAAATATTGAAAAAAAAATATATTGTCATTGAGTAAATATACAGATACACTAAAAATATCAGCTGTGCCATAATTTATTTACGTTTTCTAGTAGATTCTGAAATTATAGTACCTAAGTAACTTCAAGATCGAGAATTTAAGTCGACTACAATAATTTGCAAAAAGTTTATTATTTGTTTGTTTCTTAATAGTTTTGATTTCAATACTACTTTTGGACCTAAATAAACTTAGATACTAGTTATTTAATTATGTGTATATTTCAAGAAGTGAATTATTTAAATCAAATATGATTTAGTTGACCTTATTTTATATTTATTTGCAAATAAACATTATTATTGTTTAAAAATGTACTAAAAACCACTAACCGTTCTTCTAGGTCCATTGCCCCATTCTGCAATTTTGTACTTTTCGTACACGTCCGTAACCTTTTTATTTCTTTGTTCCAAACTCATTTTTATTTTATTTAATACGAATCTATTAAAAATAACTTTCCCGCCAATATTGAACGGATGCGTTCGAAAAAATCCGGTAAGACAATGAACGCAACACGCACGTCGCTCTCGCCGTTTACCACGACACTGGCGCGCTCACTGAATGATACAGTATTTTAAATTGCTAGTAAATAATGGCAGTTGTTTATTGGACGATAAATACAGATACAGTGCATTTTAGCCTTGTTAGATTGTTGTGTGTGTCCGGAAAATAAATATTTTTTTGCTTTGTTGTAGTTACTAGCTTTTTTTTTTCATTTGGCGTCATGGATCGTGCCTGTCACTGAACGGGAGTATTTATGCAGGCAGGCATTCTAAATTTTTTTCTACTACACTTTTAGCTTTAGTCGCCGACGGTCAAGTTTGTAGGCTGTAAAATAATTAAAACAGAAATATTAACTTCTTTACTAATATTTTGGGAGTTTGGCTGACAAAAGTTGGGATAGTTCAGAAGATTTCAAAACCCCAGACATAATTTTTTCATCATTGACACCAACAATAAATTAGAAACTTGTTGCGGTCAGTTATTTCATCTTCTACTTAGTACCTACTTAAAATTCCGCACGCACCATTAATAACACTTACATTGAATCTTTTGAAGCCAGTTTTTTGTCGACGGCATCCTGCCATATTTTTGGTCATCTTTTATTTAGGTATACAGACATGACATTCTGTTATAATTAAGGGCAACTCCAGGAATTGCTCCACAGATATATTAAAGAATTGCTCCCTTGTTTAACCATCGGATAGGTATTTTATGGACGTGTCATGTAATCCCATGCCGTGACATGTTTATTTGCGGTTTGCCACGCCCACGGCAACATACAATATTGCAGTGGATTTTTCGATAATATGATAGATTAGCTATATTATGCTTTGTCATTTCTCGGGTTCGTAATACTTTCATTGACCTACGTCAATAAGTTAAAAATGATAATCATTCCTGTTATGCATTTTCACGATTACGGTAATTTACCGCAGATACCTACTTTGAGGCAGGCTAAAGTTCCATTAGTTATCGGATTAACGTCCAAAAGTAATAGCTTGTTTTGATGCATTGATTTTATTTTGAGCAGTTCGAAATGGTTTAGCTTGGAAATACTAGCATGTTAGAGAAGATAAAATTATGATAGGGACCGAATGCAAGGTTAGTTACTGTTTTACCTCATGATTAAATCGTTGTGATATCGATGAGTGGATCGAGATAAGTATTGGGATTGGGAGTTTTTGGTCAGATAGTGAAACCAAAAATAGGGTTTTAGAGAAGGTCGAACGATATCAGAGTGTTAAAGATGAAATGTATTTTCATATTCATATGGAGTACCAACCTAGGGTACTAAGTAGGGGTATCCTTTGCTTCTAAATCTCTTGTAGTTTTAGTCTTTTAGTGAGATAGAGATACTACAAAAACCAGTAACGATTTGGTTTTAACATATTTTGAAATATAAAGAAAGGCCAGGCTAAATTCAAGTTTAGGAAAGTCCTAAGATTCAAGGAACTAAACCAAGGTCTCGTGACTAGTGGTCATGCACTTTGCTGATTGAATGTGGCGAGGATATTAGGAAATCTATGCATATACTGTAAACTGGAAGAAATGGTAGATGAACCCTTCTCGAATCGCAGTCTAATAAGAATACTTAACACATTTTTCAACATTTTGTTTCGTGATTGACAAAACTTATTATTTTTTGCTCGGATTTTGTGACGTTAAAAATGTATTTGTCTGTGGACGCAATTAGGTTTCACATAGTGCCTATCTCAATAACAGGCTCCAAGTTTTTGATGAGGCATCAAATTAATAAATAGTTATAGTTCTTTAATTAGTGTAATTTTCGCAGAATTCCTGTTAAAATAAATCGATCGATAAAATTACGATAGCTAGTTTATTTTAGAACTACATACATACATAGGTATATATCGCGACAGTAGATCGGATGTGAAAAATACTTTTTGCTTTTAGGTACTAATCGATAGACCGTAAATATTGATAAAGATATGATATTGTTAGGTATGGAGATGCGGAAAATCAACATATGATCAATGAATCGTTCCATTCTATGCATTCACATGGATTTTTTTTTAAGGGGGGAAAATCGTCGAATGACTGCTCCCGCCTGGGTGATGCGGGAGGAAGTGTCAGACTCTTACTGACTAAAAACCACCCCGTTCCTTCTCCTGCACGTCGAGCCGGAGCCCCGGTTACTCGTTTGTATAAGTAGCATAGTCTTTGGGTCATATAGAGAAGTATTAACCTCTTGTATATGAGACAGAATAGAAAAGACTAACGGATCACCTGAGGCCTTAGTACGGGTTTGTTTCACGTTTAAAGTATTCGTAACGAGTACGCGATCGGCGGTCTGATTGGTTAGTTTATTGGCGCCGGCCAATCAGTGCCGAACGCGTACTGATGTAAAACAAACTCGTACTAAGGCCTCTGATGGTAAGCAATCGACCATGGATACATGCCACATCCTTTTAGGGATTGCGTATTTGGGTATTTACGATTTACGAAAAATAAAACATAAATTTTCCCAAATCGGATACTATTAACAATAACATTCTTTACTTAACTTTCTTCTTATTGAAAGGAGCTCAAATATTAATCTATCAACGCCAAACAGGTTTCAACAACATACGATATCCAAAATTGGATAAGGAACCAGTAAAAACTGCATTTAATAACTGAAAAGAAAAACCCAACATAAGCCTAATCTAAAACCAAAACAGAAGATTGATTTGGTATAAGTGGGTTTTCTCCAGTCTGCTCCAGGATGATGTAAAAACCAAAAAAATGACATCAGCCTACAACAAGATCTTTTTTGGAAATTGACTCTTACCTAAGTCACAGGGTAAAAGATTTGTTTGCGCTATCAAATTAAGGTAAACAATACCTCCCAACCTCCCATACTCTTCAAATTAGTTTGACAGCATATTTTGTAACATTCCGATGACATACTAAATGAAACCTTATCTATTTGGTAACTATTTATTATTTACACCTTATCAATAGATGATAGTGAGTAGATACTGGTGAATTAACTAAAGATCTGTCCTAGAGATAAAAGCACATCAAAAGAAAACATGTTTTTATGGCAACTGACTTGATAATGATATTAATCTTTTACGTCATATGTAGCAACAGTGATTGGGTACACAAATTAATCTGTCATAATTTATGTATACTTACTTCTTTAGGTCTTCAAGAAGTTCTAATAAGAATTACTTTTAATAATATAAAAAAAAAATAGTTGACGGTAGGTATCATGTTTTATACTGATTACAGTATTTTTGTCTATAGTACTTTTATTTTTTTTAAAACACCGTGGTGGCAAGAAAAGCACACGGCCCGCCTTATGGTAAGTGGTTACCGTGGCCTATGAACGCTTGCATCACATGGGGCATTACATGCACCTTGCCAACCATTTATAAACCTGTTCACTCCTTTCTTGAAGAACCCCACATTGTAGCTATAAGCCCATATTGTATTTCCCTATAGTAGCCATTCTAGTAGTAGACTCTAGACTGTGTTGACCACAGAATTATTAAGCATTATGAAATAGACCTACGCTTAAAATAAAGAGTAAGTACTCATAAAGAAATTTGACTATAAATAAGAACTCATAAAACATGATACCAATTTGAGGAAAAAAGGCACAAATCTATTTTTAGCACAGTATAAACTTGTTTTAGAAGAAATGTACAGTAATAAACAAAGATCATTTTAACAAGTTTTGAAATTATCTGTAGATATTAAAAAAAAATTGGCTTAATCTAACTGGGTACATACTTATACTAAAGAGGTCCGAAATCAAAGAAAAAAGGTACAAAATATAACTTGTAACATTAGGTACTTTTAGAACCACACACATTATACTGAGTTTATTACATAATTTATTTATTCATATTAATGTACATATGATACCTTGAACTTTACCCAGACTTTTTATAAGGATATTTGGATTTCGACCTTTTAGTTCATTAAGATGGCCTTTCTTTCACTTCTAAAAGATAAATTGATACAAAGATAAAGTATACATAGGTACTTTCAAGAGAAAATAATAACACCTTTCTACTTGAGTTGATTATATGCTTAAATATATTAGCGAAAGGCCTATAGGTACTGCCTATAGCAACAAGATAACCACTGAACCAACCAACCAGACCTGCTTTGAAGAAAATTCAAATTAGTGTTTCTGTTTTGTTTAACGTTCGTGATCTCATCATAACATTATGAGGCCTACGTAACTACATCAGGAGAATAAATCATACGGATTTGTATTGCTCACGGTTAAAAAATATTCCACGTCTGTCCATACTTACTTACTATCAACAAGATATGCTTATGTATGAGTATGTATACCACTGATAATGAAAATCGATTTTAACATAAACGGGCCCGAACTGCAGCACGCAAATGCGGTCGTAAAACATTAAATATTACTCACAGTTTTAAGTTTCTTCTTCGGTCCAGACGGTCCGTCCATTTTATTCGATTTCTGATGATCACTGAACGTTTTCAAAGAGGTTTTATGTTAGAAAAAAGAAATTTTAATTTTTTTATTTAGAAAAACCGCATATTTTTCGTACAATAGGTAATGTGCTTAGTATCAGCGATTAGGTACCAATTATTATCAGTAGCAGTACGAGGGGGTCAGGGGGGTAACTAATCAGGGGGGCCGCGCGGCAGTAGAATTTTTGTTTGACTTTGACAGTGACTGACTTGACAAATCATTCTTGACACTCTAGACACTGACAGTTAATGGTTCGTTCATAAACACTTTCAGCCTATTTGATATACCATTGATAGATATAATTATTTATTTCAGGAAACACTTGGTTACCTATCTGTATACATTTATGTAATCAGCTGATAGATACATACTGATATGTTAAATATGAAAATATATTTTCAACTAATAATAATTTTAAGGTGTAAATATTTTAGTTTTAAATTATTTATTTTATATTTTAAGTTGTATATATTAATAGTCGTAAAGTAGTATTACATTAATCATAAATCTGTATAATTATCTGATTTGGATAAAGACGAAACAAATATATATAAAAAAACTAATATAAGGAAACAGAAAAAATTCCATAGACGGCCTAATTTAAAAAACAGATAATAGACAATATAAATATTTGTAAATGTCTCTCTACAGTCTACTGTCTGAGATTGTCTCAAAAAACGTAAAATCCATCAATATTTTGGGAAAACACTAATGTTAACATTTCTAAGCTCAGAAATACTGTGCTTAGAATATTTCCCGCTATAATATGCTGGCTAAAAGCCAGCAGTAGGAGAGAAAAGTTGTAACACGTAGTGATAAACGTTGGTTTCGTATCGGTGTTAAATTCTATCAAAATGCCTGCTGTAACTACACCCTCCGTGGAGGAGCAAAATGAAGCCGATCAAAAGATGTGGAGCGCATTAAAGCGCTATATAATACGCGAAAGACAAAGGAAAAAGGAAGGTAAAAATTTTGATGACACAATATCAGCAATCAATAAACAGTCTTCTCTTGAGAATATCATGTTCTTGGTCTATCTTCGCATATTTGATGTCTTCTATGTTAAAAGCGACAAATTCTTGTAATCATGAATATGACACTTATGTACCACAATTGGACATTTGAACATTGACTAAAACAAACTGATATCTTTGAAAGGGTGTAATTTTGTAGGAATTTGTTTATACATATTTCAAATCTAACTATTTTAATACAAAATGACTAATTACTTTTGTACTTGTATGATCTAGTTCCACAGATATTACTATATCTAAATAAATAAACCTAATACAGATAATTTCAATGATTTCAGAATATGAAGCAGAAGTCGAAGAGGAGAGACTCCGAAAAGAGAGGGAAGCAAGGGAGAGACAAGATGTCATGACACTTGGTAAAACAACATAACATAATAACCTTTATCTCCGAAAGGCTAGGCAGTGGTGCAAATTACAGCACTTAATGCCACTGTACAATGTAACACCCACTTTTCACTATTTATGTTAAAAGTCCCATGCAACAGGGGGTGAGATATTGAAATTAACAACGTAAAAAAAAATAACTAAATGTATTCCCTCTTATAAAATTATTTGCAATTTAACCATTTATCATTAATCAGTGTTGCTAGGCAGGCAGATCCTAACTGCAACCCGGACATCAGAGCTCATAATTATGATTCATGTGTAGGATCACAAAACTACAGAAAAGTAACCTCATCTATCTAACTAAATATTTGAATGTAAAAGTTCTGTTTACTCAATTCATTCTTCAAAAATTTTTCAGAGGAAACAAAAGAACAAATTGAGCAGTTGGAACAGAAGCTCAAACAGCTTGAGAAAGAGAAACAGCAATTGTTTATGCAACTCAAGAAAGTATTGAATGAAGATGAAATTAGAAAGAGACAGCAACAAAAGGAAACTAAGTGAGTATGGGAAATGTTTTGTTCTAATTACAAACACAATTTTTTTTTGTTTTATAGTTTCTTTTTTGTTAGTAGCCAGTATTTTTTAGTATGTAGTGAGTGGAAAGAAGTGGACAACTGGCTTTATAAAGTTGAACTGTAAATTAAATTCACAGAGTTTGTTTTAAAAGATTAATTTTAAGAGATATATCCCATACATTTGTCAGAAATGGAGTCTGTACACTAACAACAGGTTCCAAGGATCAACTAACAATTTACTAACAAAACTACTAACCACTGCCACTCTGTAGACAAACTAATGATAAGCAAAAAAAACAAAACAGTGACTTTTCCAGCGAGATGCAATCCATGAAGATGCAGCCGATGGGCAACATTCAGATCCCAATGTTCCCGCTGTCTACCTCAACTGGGCAAGCGGAACCACCGCCACAAGGCAGACCACCACCTCTAACCTCCCATATGATGACCAAGGTATAAGTAATTTATTTAAAAGGAGTTCTTTATCACCATCATGGACTTTGCTTTTACTATTTTTTAATAACAATCACTTTTGTACAACAATGATTTGGTTTTGCACATTTTTTTCCACTAATTGTATGATGGAATGCTAGAAGGGAATTTTAACAGACTTTATTAATAGTAATAGAAAACAATCACTTAAGTGTAAATACTTAAATAAATTGCAATGAGGTTGTTGGCACTTTTGTAATAGGCATGTTTTTTTGTAAAATTTTTACTAATCTTTTTAGTAAACCACTACAACATAGTTTAATAACATTTCGTATCATCACAGCTAGCTCATCAGATCATCTTCACGTAACCAACTCACTAGTTGCACTTGTTTGTATTATCGTGTTTATTCTCCTTTGTTCAAGCATAAGCATTCAAACCACATGTTGTTCCCACAACAGCAGACTATTGTGCGAGGCCCCATACAGTCGGGCGTGAAGAGACCTCGTAGCCCCTCACCCACATACGCGCTCTACGCGCATCGTCTGCATCAACCCCCTATGAAGCACCAACAAGTTTACTCCGATCATAGTAAGACATTATAATTGTTCCTAACGTAAAATGCTAAGCGAAATTGTATCTTAATGTCCAAACTTAAAAGTTACTAAAGTGAGAAAATTGTTAATTTTGTGTGAATGTTTGTTTCATTACAGTTTGGCACTATGTAGAAGACAAATGAAATTTATCAGTCTATGGACCAATTTTGCAATGCTTAGATAAATTTTAACTCAGGAATAATAATAACTGAACATTATTCAACAGTACAGTTAATAAACTGATGATTGAAAAATCGACCCTATGACTATAAAATGAATTGAGCCATACATTGGAGTTGTCATCAAATCACATTGTACCTAAATAATATATGAGTAAATCTTTTGCAGAGGTAGAAGATGGCCGCATGGGCCGTCAGATGGCTCGCGCCGTGCTTTGGAATAGTGAGTTACTTTACTAGGTGTCACTTTGTCTGTCGCTTCTCATCCACATGCTTTTCATCTGTACTCTCTAAGCGTACCTATTTTTAATTTGCTCTATTTTAACTGATTGCACTTCCCATAAATATTTCGAAAAAAAAAATAACACTCGTACAAATAATTCTTTTAATTTCTTGGATTCTTCAACAAATCATTGGAGCATCAGGTATATCCATAACATAATCTTAAATCTTAACTTGCAGTTTATCTTTTTTCATCCCCTATTCCATTCCTGAGTTTGACTAACATTTGCATGTAGTTCATTTTGTGTGACATTTATTGATATGTTTATTATCTGTATTTTTTATTTTATGTATATATTTTTTCCTTTATTACAAATCCATTAAACTGATACGTCATTGGAGAAGAGATTCGTGCTATATTTCCAAAAAGCATTTTCAGATGACTAACAAACATTATACCAATCTGAATAACTACTATAAAAGTTAGACGTAATATTTAATAACAATTCAATTTTCACAGAGCCATCTCAATACGCGTCAAATGTGGGAGGTTCTTCCGTATCATCGAACGCGTACTACGCGATGCCGACGTCTGGCGTAGTGGGCGTAGTGGGGGAGCGTCCCCCTCCCCTCCTGTACGCGCACCACGCGCACACCCCGCACACCCCCCACACCCCCCACACGCCGCACCACACGCTCATGTACCCGCCCGCGCCACAACCTCCACAACTGTACCTGGACATGTTGAAGAATAGAGACGGGCAACAACATCAGGAGCAGAAGAAGGAGGCTCAGGTACGTAGGAGACATAGGTCGTGGGAATATTATGTATGAGACAGTTAGGTTAATCGAAAGTTACGTAAGACTTCATGGTGTTGTTTCTAATCAGTAGTTTTGGAGCAAAGAAACGGAGCCACTAGGAATTTTTAAAATTTTAAAATCTTAAAAAAATCATCTATCATATGTATCAAAAAATATTTATCAAGAAATTAAAAAGAAAAAACACGAGTGGCTCCGTTTCTTTGCTACCAAGTGTACATCTGATTGAGGGAATGACTATTATGGTGTCCTGCTCCAAAATAAGAATGACCTTCAAAGAACTGTGGAGATTTCAAAATGTCCTGATCTTATTGTTTTACTTTAATATCAAAATAAGCTCCAACTCAGTATTAACAAAAGATTAGTTTATAAAGCATTGTTTGATTGTCGTCAGCCACAAGTGTTGATTGGTCTAAGCGAGGCGCACCACCCGTCAGTGAGTAGTGGGGTGGCATATGCCCAGCCACCGGTGTCACGTCACCTCTCCATACACCCACCGCCGCAACATAACAACATGCAGGTACAAATTACTACAATTTACGTATAAATAGACCTATATCCTATAAAAAGATGTGTTAAAACCCGCCTTTCATTCCGTTTAAAACAATTTAACCGATTATTTTGCGCAGGTATTGTATTTTTTTTTTTCTTATTTTGTATGTTATGCTATTTTTGTTTATTTTTATACTTCCTTCCTTATTCTCCGTCTAATATAGAGCTTGGTTATATTTATTTATTATAGTAGTGTCTCATTGTCATTTTATTTACAAAATTATGTACTACGCTTATTATTCCACTAACTTCCTATGTTTGCTATATTTTATTTGCATCTTGCTAGTTCTAGTTTTTGATATGGTTTTCAGTTAGTAGATTGTCAACGGTCGATTTATTTTGAAGCTTATTTTTTAATATGAAACTGTGATATTTCAATGCCAAAGTTGAAATTGTCTTACTGCAAACCATTCAAAATTTCATGCATGATTTCAATGTTGGTTTGAGTTAGTGGTTTGTTCAATCCAAACCTTTGAATATAATAACTGTTTTACTCTATACATATTTTTCCTAAATGTACTAATGTTTAGCTAAGTTGCAGCTGCAGGACTTGTGATATCCGAGGTTCGATTCCTAGGTACCAAAAACTCAGCGACGGCAAGAATATGGCACAATCAATTCACTCCCCAGCCAGGAAATACCCCATCTTATTTTAATATGTATTATATTTAATCATTGCTTATTGTCATGTGAGCTTTGCCATTCAAATTATATTTGATGAATGATAAACTTCCCCAAGTATTTCCTAAATCTGAAATTGTTTTGAACTATGAAAGATGTAAATGACTAAATAACGTTAAACGAACAATCATTGCTTGATAACTAACTAGATTGCCATTTGCTAATAAATAGGATTATTTTATTATTTACGCTAGGCCGCAGTGGGGGGCAGTAAATAATATCCGTACGAAAAGCTTATGCTTCAAATTGCGTCTATTTTACCGTCAACTTTGGCGCCACTGTCGATAATGGGAGAATATCCTAGTTATTGAAGTTTTTACTTCAAAAATTGATTCTGAACTCAGGTATTTTCTATAAACTTGTTTTATTTATAACCAAAAATTCTGAAATATACAACGACGGCTGGAAATACAGGTTAAATAAACTGTAATTTGAAAGTTTTTTGCCCTTAAAATTAGTCCCCCACTACGACCCAGCTCAATGTGTGCATACCTTAACATTTTGTTCAAAGTTGAATATAATTTTAATGCTACTGGATATATCAGAGCCAAATAGACCGTAGCGGCTTTCCTACTCGCAAAATTTGTAAGAATTTTTTATTTATCTTTACGCTCGTTGTCCTTATGAGGTGAGCAGATTAGGCCTATAGTGACTATGTTAAAAAGTACTTTGTATAAACTGGGTTTATGATCACAATATTTTTGTAACTTAATGATTTGTTTAAGTCAGTATGACTTAGTGCTAGTCGCTCACCTCAGAGGCAATATCACTTAGGACAACGAGCTGTTGTGTTGTCCTTTTCAAGACGCCCTTACAGTCCTAGGGCATAATTGTGATTTTTAAACCCACTGGGTGTTCTTCATCGGCTCTCCTCAAAAAACCGAAAGAGCGTGAAGCTACAATTTTTACACAGGTCTTTGAAAAGTCTGATAAAGCATAAATACATTAAAAAGAATAATTAAAAAACTGTAATTATGCCCCAGAAATTAAATTCAGACATAAATGTGTGTGTGTTTTTATTCCAGCCTTTTGACTGCCCTCGGCACGAGATGATGTCGCCGATTATTCAAAATTTTTCGAAATTGTAACACAAAATTAACGCTTTTGTTTGCATGCTATTCTCATAATTTTCTATCTTTCAAAGCATCTTCTTGACGAGCTTATTTTATTTCGATTTCAAATTTTGAAGCGATATGGAAACGATTGGCCTTAAAGAATGGTGGTCAAAAGGGTTGTTGGGGGCGGTAGGTTAATCGTTTTGTTTGTGTAGACGTCGAAGCCGGGCAGCATAACGCAAGGCTACCCGGTGCAGCAGTCGAGCAACGTGCAGAACCCCAGCATGTACCCGAGCAGACACCGCTACTAGCCCGCCGCCGCGCCGCGCCCGTGCACCACGTCAAGAACATACTGCTGCGGGCACTCGTACATCAGCTGTTGAAGTAAACTCGCGTAACATACCATACTTACTGTATTTTTTGCAATCCTGCTACTACGATATTTTGTTTACAAAAATTAACTTGTATCAGTTTAATCGAAAAACATTTTAATGTTAAGTTTCATCAAAGGCACTTTAATCAAAATATAGTAATAATAAGAATCTAAATTATCGAGACTAGCTTCAACATCTAATGTATGTATGTACCTTCAGCCTACACAGTGACAACAAAAAGGTTTTATTTGTGTATGCAGTGTACGAACTGTTTAGTGAAACCCAGTGTACAGTGACTATAATGGGCTCTTTTATTGGCAACTCAGTGTCAAATACCGCCAATAATATAGGTGCTATAATAATACATAGGTCCATATTGTCTGCTCCGAACTAAAATATACTTTGTGTGAATGTAATAACAGTAAATATCCTATAAATAGATGAAGTCAATTAAAACTAGGTTAAAGTTTTATTAAATATGTTTATTTTTTACTCTATTTCGAAATCGTGCATAGACCATAGCATAACTTAATATTAAGAGGTTTTGTCGAGGTTCCCAAGTATTCTGGTAAAAATACAATAAATCTCAAGCTACATTTATAGATCTTTCTAGAATAGATACCTCATACCTTTCTAGAATATCTAAGACAAGAATTAAAATAGTATGCTGGCATATAATATTAATTAATGAGATAGTCCTTTCTATTCACTCTTGGACCACATATTCTACTAAAATAAAGCTAATAATTAACACACTTTGTTGTCAATAAAAGCCCAATTTAAAATTTTAAGTTATACAATACCTACATATTATGGTAATCGGTAAACAAAAGGACTGTAATAATATGAAGTAAAATAGCAGAATCGAAATAGATTTTGTATCAACAACTGTATAAAGAAACTTAACAGTGATGTGTAAAAATATTAAATATATGTTATTGTGAATATGCAGTTAGAAATAGAAATAAAATTAATAAATATCCTCGCTTTTGTTTATAAAGACTATGATAGATTCATGGGCTAATGATAAAGTTTTGGTTTAATAGTTTTTAATGACATAGTTAAATACAATTCCAAAACAGTGTTACCCAATCAAAAGTGTGCATATTTCATTTATTTATAATTAAATAAAACATTATGTCAATTAATATACGCAAGTCAGTTTGCGCATAATTGCGCAAATTGCGCAAGCATGTTATACTTTTGCGCAACTGTACTTGAAACTCGTTTTTTTTGGGGATATAGTAAGTTATTTAATGGAAAAAATATTTTTATTACCCATCCTATTATATCCTTTACTATTTTTCATAATTAGTACAATATAATGATTGGTTAACACTGATTTGTCCCAAAAATATGGAATATCAATGCTTTTGTTATTTTTATGTGCTAGAGTCTTAATAATTTACAAATAAGTGGGATAAAACAAAAATATTTGTTCAATAAACCTATTTTATAAAAACATGTAATACATTTATTGACTAAAGTAAGTACCTATAGAGGCACAAAAAACAGAGCCAGAGTCATGAGGCATGAACTGTAAAACAGTAAGTTCCTAATAAACATCCATGACTATTTGAAATTGATCTTTACTTCGTAGCAAGAAGAGTGGTTTTTGTTAAATTTCTTAACTGTCACAGTTGAACTGTATAAAGATGGCGCCTGTATGAAATAAGTAGTACTCTTAAAAGTATGATGTTTGTGTAGTGTTGGACAATGAGCTAAGACATAATAGAAACATTTACTTTCATGTACATTTCAGTAGGATATGCAGATGTTGTCCTTGTGTGTGCAATAATATTAGCCCTTAGCCATTTGATATGGCCCTTGTTAGTGGAAAACATGTATTAAATCTTATAAGGATCAAATCTCCATGCACTCTGAAATCTGCATAAAAGAAAATTAGTCGTTTTTTGCGCAAATCTTAGGTATGATCATCTACTAGGTGTACTCTGATGGACTCCAGATGTCGCTAAAAGCTTAGTTTTCAGACTACAGTATCAAAATGATGAGAAATGTGAATGTGCTATAAAAACACCAATGCTGCTTGTTCTGGTTTAAGAAATATGAAATATAAAATGATTCCTATATGAACTTTTTGTTTTAATTTCAACCATTGATATTCCTGCCTGAAAACAATAGTTTTATGAACACATTAGAGAGCATAATTTTATTTGCACTTCGTATGTATTATAATTTATAATTAATGTTCTTAGTTAAAAGTGTTTTTTTAAGTAGGTACAGAAATCTCGTTTTGTTTACTACACCGAAACGAAATTACCCACTTGGTAATTGCTTGATAAACGCACTGAAGATATTTTCAAGCCTTTTTTGGAAGTCCTTGTTCAGCCGTAGGTGTCATAAAACCTCGTAAATATAAAAACAGCAAAAAAAATAAGTATAAGGGTAGTAAAACAAAGTCTGTTTATGGTTAACAGAATGTCATTGTCAGATAAATCAAACTTGTAAATAAATAATAAAAAATACACCACTAAAAACTCAACATTTCAAACTCAAGAGGAATAAACACATTATTAAAATAGCTGAGTAAGTTTATTATTATATTTTCATTTACATAACTTATGTAGACCGTAGATACATACAAATAGTTTTAACATAGATATCTGACTAGCTAACAATAGGATTCACTCCCTCATTGGCCTTCAAACATGCAGAAAAGAGGCAAACGCACATATAGGTATGGTATATTTCCCCGCATGATTGCTAGTGCATACAGATTAAAATGAATGGGCGGTGGGAGTGAGGTAGGGTCAGGCAGACCCCTCTGTTTGACCTGCAAGTAGGTCGTTCGCGATCGATGCACCGGCTGCATCTTATTCGTACCGCCCGGCCCCCGGGAAAATGGCATCCTGATCAACGCAATACTGCAAAATATAAATAGTATAAAAAACAGCGTTTGGTCTTGTAATAGGTACTTGAAATATTTTTTATATGCGTATCATTTAGGCGATAAATTGGTACCTATATGTAGGCATCTATGTTGCTATGTCCTAATGCAACTAGTAGGCAATTTTCTTGTTTATGCCTAAGTAGTTAGGTATCTAAATACTCCCTTCAATCAAAACCCCACTTGTTTATCCATGTGGTAGCTAAACAAATAACTAGCTCAGATTGAGAAAAGGGTTATTGTCATTATTAAAACTAGGAGCTACAAATATACTATCTACCTGCATCTCAATATGGTCTACTTATGTACCTAACCATCTACACAACAATACTAATAGCAAACTCCTTTTATATAACTATCTCTACATGAGCAAATAACTGAACCGATTTCCCTTAAAACGAATGATCCGCTTACTCGATCTAGCACGGGTGTCTACGTGGGGCTTAGCATGTCAAATAGGATTAACAGTTTGCAACTCATAACGACATTAGCGTCTACAGACACTACGCTAATACCGCGAGGGTTTCACCTGCACACCTGCGTTGGAAGGATTAAATTATATCGTTAATGTCGGATTGCAAATCAGTCATTTTGAAAATGTTAAATTAGTGTAATTGGTAAAGTTAAAGAGAAGTGGAGGGAGTTTAGATAATTAGGTTGGCCTTTGCTCTTTAAATGGGCATTCACGACTTATTAAAAAGGAAGTAGGAAGTTCAAGGTCGTAGGTATTATCTACACTGTGAAATCTATCTCGTTTTTGTCCCACGGCAAAACATATTATAAGGACTCTTTCGATGTATAAAGTAAAAACAAAAAAATATTAATATATTACATTTCTAGAGCTTAAAAAAAATTCTTGTGTAAATTCAAATAACGCACATGACACTAGACGTAAATTTGTAGGAACTATTCGCATCCCACGTGCCACCCGACGATGATGCGTGATGTTTTGATAATGTAGGTACTTACCTACTTTGAGTTCGTATGCACTTTTTAAAGTTAGGTACTTTTTGCAATGGTTCACCAGTTATTTTTTGTTTTAAACATTTTATTTGTTTGTAAATCTATTGTATTTACCAAAACAGAGCCATTTTACCAGTATTGGTATTTGGTAATTACGCATCGGATCTAATGTTAACGTTTAACTATTACGCTGTATGTTGCAGTTACAATGCTCATACAGTCATACCATACCGAACCACCTAAGTAGTTGGTTGTAACCTGTACCTACATTACAATTTCAAAGGAAATAGAAATGTAGGTACCTACTTACTTACGTATACACATATATATCTTAAATATAGTAAAACTGTGATTCTAAGCAAGTGTCTACCTATGTTCAGATTATCTTCTCATCACAAACCTTTTAACTACCTAACTGACCTACTATACAATTTATATGGAATTTATAATGTCTATTGTTCTTGCATACTTTAGAGACGAAGTCTCAACTCGGAAAGTTCTTGCGGAAAATTATTGTGGGAAATATTTACAGTGGGTACCTCCCTACTTATGTTCCTACGAAGTTTTGTTGATAGAAATTGAATGGATATTAATTTGTGACTTGTAAAATTAATTAGGTATTTGATCTTCTCTGACATTTAACACGGAATTGAAAATGGGTACCTAGGTATTTGTCTTTGCTTGACGATATTAAAAATTAATTGACTATGTTTTTGGCATTGTACCTACCTAAAAATGATACAAAGTTCGGCATCGTACCTTCTTGTAATTGTCCTGATGTTCTAATGTTATTGTTGCAAACAAGCAGACGGGTCGTTTGATGAGGGGCAAACCCCTATGCCATACGGTAGTTGTTGTTTTGTGAACTTCGAAACTATTTCATTTATATTAAACCTATTTAGACCTACATAAACTTTACAAAGAAATACTTTAACTTCAATCAACGAATTAAACTGTTTCCTTTTAATATGATGTTTTTAAAAGATAACAGTAACAAATTGAATGATCTAAACAATTTTTTCATATGACTGAAGAAATATTCCAATTATATACTTTCTGCGACTAAACAAGATTCATAGCTCCTTTTTATTATATTTTCTTTCGTAATAAATTCACTCGTGTATTTTCTTATTCACACGATCTCGCTGTGGGATTCCTTGGAATCTGTTTTATTATATTACTGTTATTTCATTATATTCTGAACTGGCGTACATTACATACATGTGTGGACCATATAATATTACTTGTTCGGAAATTGTGACTTCATTATTTTGAAGATATCTGAACAAATCGAGTTATGATGTTCCGTGTACGGTAGATAACTTAATCGAAAGTTGTCGATAATTTTCTTTGCTCTCCGTTTTTATTGAATTAGCTCCCAGTTTGACTACAATTTCATAAACGTCATTGGTCTTTCATTAACGTCATTAACAGCCCGCTATGGTCCGCTACTGGATTATAGACCTCTTTTAAGTCCCCCTAACTATACAATAAATTGTGTATGTTTCCTTCCTTATTGGAATGATTAATTTAATATACCGACTAAGTTACGAAAAATCCGCAAAATAGAACAAAAAAGTAAAAAAGTAGATGAAATAAATTGGTATCTAAAAGGTAAATCAGTTAATAACAAAATGACTTTGAAATAAGAAGCCTCTTTCACCCATCTCTTTGTTATCCTAGAATCTAGCATCCAGACACCTTTGTCCTCCAATTGATAAGGATACGTTTTATCACCTTATGCTGTGGACGTAAGGTTCAATTTTGCCCTAGAATTGAATTAGGAAGATGTAGTGCGCAAGCGTGAAGCTATTGACTGTCCCCCCCTTCTCCCTTCTCTAAAAGCTGAATGTAGTGCTCAGAGGACCCAAACAAAGGATGGATATGATTTGATGGTACCTCGGAACCGCGCTCTGATAAATGACACAAATTTAAAATGGCGAAACAGCACTTGTCATCACGTTCGTTGTAATTTACATTTGACCTTGGTTTTTAGCGTTTTCCCTTATTCAAATTAGGGTAGTTACTTTTTTCGCTTTGGAAAATTTATGTTAATTCTGTTTATTGTTAGTCTGATGGGTTTAATACGAGTCGCGATACTTCCCAGGGCTCATTTTACAAAGAGATGTTACTAATGATATTAGTCTCGTCCTTCACAAACATTATGTATGTTAGGAAGAACCTACAGTTGTTTGGTAAAGTGTCTGACAGACACCACTATCAAACTAGACATAGGGATAGACTAAGTCAGCCACTATTTAGATTGACAAAAGTACAAAAGTCCTTTATGGGATTCTGTGTTAAATGCTATAATAAAATTCCGGAGGAAATACAACATTTAAATGAGTCAAAATTTAAATTATATATTAAAAAAACGTTATGCGGAAAAGCATACTACAAACTTAATGATTACATAGAGGATAAAAATGCTTGGAGGCATGCTGGTCCGGCTCCACAGGATAGCGAAAAACATTGATGTTCCAATGAGTTCCAATCATGTCAAATACAGCCATTTTGTTCAAATGTACACACTGTAAAACTTTATATAGGTAACTATTGTAAATGTGAGAGCCCTGTAACTACCTAAATTAAATTAGACTAGTAGAATGCATGTGTGTCAGCCTGGAGTTGTCATGCTCACTCAAAAGTCTCATTGGCAGTGGCACGGGCAGTGGATCGCTCGATTCCCTATAACATGGTCGAGTTGGGCGGTGCTGGTGTACGTGTCATGTTCGTGAACGGGCGCTGTCAAATGGGACTGGTCAGCTCCAGACTGTATTAAATTTGTTGTCCTCAAGGTTATTTTCTTTTTCCGTCTCCTTGACCAAATATTGGTATTACATTGTTCTCACATTATTGAACTCAACGGAAGAATGTAACCAAAAATTGTATTGTGAACATGATTGAAAAAGAGTAACCTATGGAGTTTCTTGCTCGTTCTTCTCCATAGGAATCTACACTTTGGAACGAGCAAATAGCTTCACTAGAGGACTGACTTACAGACTGACACATTTTTCTTTTCTTATTATTTAGTATTTAAATATTTTGTTTTGACGTTCAAAAGTGCCTTACTGGTCTAATTGAAATAAATGATTTTGACTTTGACTTTGACTTTGACTTCACACACTCGAGTTATCTTTCGTTATTCGTAGAACTGTAGTGTAAATATTCATTTTCCTCCCAAGTGGAAATAAGACCGCTTTTTACCAGTCGAGTATTTTGT